ACACACACACACACACCCACAACCCCACGGCCCTAAACTAAACAACTTAGTACTACAAAAAACTGTATAGATACCTATACGAGTCGATCTAGGTATGTCTATATAGAAAGATAGATAGATAGATAGATAGGTAGGTAGGTAGGTAGGTAGGTAGGTAGGTAAATATAGATAGACAGATATATATATATATACATGTACTCCTATATATATTGTATTAGGAGAAAACGTCCGTACACGAATACGGACACACCACAATGAAGAAGTTACAGGCATCATCGCGATGGCATGTCAAAAGATCGTAGAGCTCTTCGTCCGGGCTTTCGCAGCTAGGAGGAGTTTCCATGGGTGCAGAGGAAAGGAAGCTGCATATTTATTGCCCAGCTTGATTCGTGGAGCCCAAACACAGCTTTAGATGCAGCAACACATTCACGATCGAATGACAATCCAGCCCTAAGCCCAAACCCAAAAACACCATAAGACACCTTCTTTAAGCTTCCGGCGCCCTCTCCAATGTCGCGGCTGAGTCCACGAACGGTCCGGCTCGCGCTAGAACCTGGCATTGCACATATGGCTTGTGGCTTCAAGGCTTTTCGGGCTCCATATATTCAATGCGAATACACTTTCAGGTAAGATTGCTGCAGCTTCAACCCTTTTGCAGACCCCAGCCAATGAGCAAAGTGGTAAGAGACCCCAGTAATTAGGAGTGCAGACTCCGATTGCGATTCGTGGCAATCGTGCCACAAATCAGCTTCACATCAGGTGCAGGTTCTGCCCACACCATCTAGCAAGAAACTTGGGAACACTAAAGGCTGTAAGGCCTAGGCATGTTTGCCCTTCGGTGCTTTCTTCGCTGCTGCTTTGGCCGTTGCTGCCTTTGGCACGGGCTTGGCCTTAGGATCTGCATGGGGCTTCTCCTGCTTGTCGTGCTTGTCGTAGTACTTCTTCGCCGTCCTGCGGACACGAATGATCGAAGAGTAGAACCGAAGAAAAAACCACGAAGCTTTAGCAACTTTAGCAGAAGCCGAACAGCCAAGCAAAACTATTTTGAGGAAGCTGGTGGCGCTGCTGCTGATGCCTACTGCATGCTGCTCCTGATCTTCATCTCGTTGGCAGAGGCTCGCGAGCACCTGGAACGAAACCAAGCATCTGGAGAGGCTTATGTTTGGGGGGGCCGGTTGCTTCTGTATCGCACAGCATCGATCTGAGTCGAAGACACCACAGTCACCTCCTTGATGCGAGATTCCATGGCTTTGTAGAGCCTTAATTAGTGGGGCTGGGTGTGTGTTTTTCCTAAGCTGCTAGCCATTCCCTAAAGTGCACACTGCATTCAAGGCAAGAATCTCCTCAGACATACCCTGAGATTCAGCTTGCGCCTTCAACTCGCAACACTTGTCATACTGAGCCTCCATGAGCTTGATTTCCATCTCCAAGCCAGTCTGGCCCCTGGGCTGTGAGGTTCATCGATAGGAGGGAATATTGCCAACAGGAATTACAAGGAGTTTAGGGTTTATACAGGGTTTAGAGAAGGTTCAGGGTTTTGTAGATTATAGGGTCATTGGAGTTAGAGTATATATATAGTTGATCCAACATAATCTCAATTAAGGTTTGCGGCTTAGAGAGCTCATCATTCTTTTTGTACTTCTTCTGCAGCTCACGAACGAGGGCCCGAATCTTGGAAGTCTTGGTCATGGTAGACTCCATTTGCTTCTCCATGGTGTCTCTGGTCTGAGTGCCCCAAAAATTCATCACCCTCATAAGAACCTTTCCCCCAGCAAAGATTCCATCTTTGTTAAGGCTTAGTTTTACAACAAAGCTACACAACACCATGAACCAACCTGGCTCCACTTGTGCGTCTGCTGGGTCCCGGCGCTCGGCTTGGTTCCATCCAGCATCAAACGATTGTTCAAGTCATCGAGCTCCTTGAAACCCTGGAGGCACTTCGGCACCTCCGGCAAATCATCAGCCTGGCCAAAAGGTTCCGTGGCTGCCAGCGGTATGGGACTGTTTGTGCCCGGGTTTCTCTATCTCCCTCCCTCCCTCTCCTTTATTATCTGACAATGTATTGTTTTTTCGCTGGGGTTCTTCTGTTCTCTCTCTCTCTCTCTCT